CCATGCTTGGACTAACATCGATTAGGTCTAAGTAATACCTATAAACAGCTAAGTTACATAAATTTTCAGGTTCACGTTTCACTGCTTTTCCAACAGCGTCGCCATGCGTGCATTTGGCCAAGATTACTAATTGCTTATATTCTGCATAAATTGTCTTCATCGATATGGCCAAATTTGGTGGTGCAAAATTAAACGAGCGAGCTGGATTTATCCAACTTCCCAAGCCATTTCGATGGGATTTTGTAATCACTGCATAGGCAGGTGCATTATCGAATTTTACTAAAAATTATCCGTCTGCCTTTTTCCTAAGAATGCTTGTGTAGCACTCTGTCATGTCACTAGATGATAACCAGTACCATTCCGTACCGACCTTTTAAAACACAATTATATTTCCAATAGACTTCTTCCGAGTGCCTCTGGGCCCTAATACAATTGTGTGCTTACATGGTTTGAAATTAAGCTTTGCTGCTTGGTCGCAGCGCTGTAGCCTAACCTCGCTCGTTATTACCACGTAAAAAAGAACGATAGCAGTGACCTTATTAATAATGTGACTTTATAGGCTTAACGTAAGAAATTCAATGCTTCTCCGCATCTGTTTTTTTGTTATTTTAAGCGATATTCCCGCTTTTTTGTCCTTTAAATCTTTAATCCACTTGCATCGCGGCAAAAGGACACGATGCACAGTCCATTCCTTTCATCGAACTCCCTTACTTTTGCAGAGTTATCGGCGTTTGATTGCAAGGAAGGGGAAGCAAAAAAACTAGCTCCTCGTGCTCTTTTAAGTATTACTACTTTTGAGCGTGACCATTAACTAGGCATAAACTGGAACTTTAAAGAACGCTATAAGGCTGATCCCCTCCTATCCATTGTTATGTGTTTGGTCACTTTTTTACTGGAGCTAAAGTATATCTAAAGTGTCATTTATTTTCATTAGTAAATACGTTTTTTTTATAATAGAAAGTGATTTGCTGACTTTCAAATAATAATATCGAATCCGTGTGCCTGAATATAGACGTGTCTTAATGACTATTCGCCTTGGTAAAAGGACAGTCAGAGGTGTTCATGAGAATTTGCAGGCTATTTATTTTTAAGGGTGTTATTATAAGAACTAACTTTAGTTTTTGAGAATGATATTTTAAGATGCGTTTACTGTCGAAACATTGAAGTATGAAGATATAAGCGTTTTTAAAGGGGTCCCAAGTATTCACGGGTTTCAGCTGTGTGAGGTTAATCATTGTCCATATGAGACTGCCAAAATTGAATGTATAGGTGTCTAAAGACTACATTCAAAACGTCTTCTCTGGTTTCATCCTGCTTTTGATTTTTCACAAGCAGTTGTCTGGGCTAGTTGCTTCTCACAACAATTTTTTTATTGTTTATTGAAGTATGTATGTAAGTATGTATTTGTAAGTAAGTAACTATGTATGTATGTACTTGTAACTCAGGATTGTACTGTGTGCTGATTACCCAGGATTAATTTCTGGCATATTAAAAGTGTCTTTTGCTTTATATATCTGGTTTTATTCAAAAAAAGTTTTTGCAGGTGTACAATTATTTCACCGCCTTGTTTGAGTTTTAGGTTTTACGAAAAGACTTGTCTAAAATATTTTGGCGGTGCCGATTTTTTAATGTTTTTTTTGGAAAGCACTGTGGATTCCTGCCAAAGCTGTGGAGGTCTCTGCTAATTTTCAATTTATGCAAGTTTCACTTAACCAATGTATATCAACCCCTAAATCTTGGGTTTGCTTGTTTTCTAGGTCCGCGGTCTTGTTGATCAGTATAAGTATGTTTATGTGATCAGCTTTGACAATCCACGGAATACGCGTCTCTCAGAACTTCGACAAGAACTCAATGATAGTGTTCTGCTCTTCGGTAAAAACAAACTGGTAATGGTGGCCTTTGGCGTTGACAAGACGACACAATTGAAACCTGGGCTCCGCCAACTAAGCAAGCATGTTAAAGGCCAATGCGCCCTCCTCTTTTCCAACAAAGAAGTCGAGGAACTGCGAGACTTGTTTAATCAGTTTCGTAGTCAAGACTACGCGAGACCGGGAAGTCATGCGACTCAGACAGTAAGTACTTCTTATTTCGCATGTTCATTAACATAAGGCTTCCCAATTAAGCCTGTTTAGTCTTATAGTGATGGTAATGGCATGGCGTGAGGGGTAAAGTGACTATGAAAGTGCGACCGCTAAAGAGAGGTTAGAACCCAAGGCCAACCGAAAAAAAGTCCTCTCCGCCTTAGTTTCTCACAGAGTTCGTGGCAGAAGGGAATAAACGAAGTGGGGTAAATCAGGGGCCTTTTGGGTGCGGGAAAATAGACAAATAGAAAGAAATTAAGGACGCATGGAAATTGTTTTACTTAACGAAAAATGTGGATGGAAAGATGAAGGGCATGAAAGCCTGCCGACTAAGGAAACTATTGGAGCAACTCATATTGACTTATGATGGAAGCCGGTAGACCAATGAAAATTTTAGAGCAACCTCTTATATCATTAGGCAGCCTCACAAGAAAGCCCTACCATCTTGCAGTTAAATGACATCGTTTAATGGCAATCTCATTTGGTTTTTAATGTCTCCACCCGCAGCTGCCAGGGCCTGAGTTAGCGGGTCTTCCGGTCACTTGCATTTGAGTCTGGGGTCCTACCAACGTTGATATGGTTAGCGCCAACTGCTGGCGGCCATTCCAGTTGTCCCTTCATTGTGAGCAATTGTTCTATGTCACTATTCGGCAGTTCACGGATTATCCGAAAATGAATCCACTGCTAGAAGCGGGTAAAATGCTATTAAATCAACAAACGACGCATAGTTGCAGAAAATACGCGTCTTGCTGCCCGCTTTCTGCAGGAGACGATGGAAGCCATATATTAGGTTTCCGGCCGTTTCATGGAGAATCCGAAAATTAGTCCACTGTTTGAAATAGGTAAAAAAATGCCATTAAGCCATCAACAGACAACGCCTAGTCGCAGCAAATGCATGTCTTGCTCTCCGTCTTCTACAAGAGACAATGGAAGTTCTTTTAGGAAGGTTACCGATCCCTACTCAATCCTTACATACGCTTTCCAGCATGTGGGGCTTCGAATTCTTAATAGGTCTACCTTGCCGTTATGGGTGATTTTGACATGCAGACATATGAAGTAATAAGGCACCGAATTAAACAGTGAGTGCGCCGCCTCGGCATCTTCCCCAGCCTTGCGTGAAATATAATTGTGCGTGTTCTTCTCTGTGCGTTTGGAAGAGGGGCTATTGCCTGAAATATTATGCGGATTCCGGAAACATCAGAAAATAGTAAGCACGACCTTCGTAGCCCGACAATCGAAAAAAAGCGTTAGTAAATGCAAATAAACATCTACACCACCTTTGTCAATGTATCGTATGCCTGCACCATGCACTGTAATAGTCACGTTTTCGGAAATGCCTGCATATATTTCGAACGGCTGCAGTGATTCCCGACGGGCAAAGTCAGATGCCGTAACCAAATTTTAACAAATACGCCAATTGTCTGCTTCTAACTGTAACAATCGTCAGTTATTAGTAAAAGCTCAGTGTTGATCTACCGTCATGCGCTGACTGAGAATCGCATTACTTCTTTGCGTGCAGGTTTCGGTAGTATAAGTTGCAGTTCAAGGGGACAATGTCAGAAAGGTGCATGCCATGTTATTTCCTTGGTCTCGCTTTTGCCGCTCGTTGTATTTCCGTCGCAAGACAGTTTTAGGGCACCTGGAAATGGACTCAGGCGCAATGGCTGACACAGTTTAGACAACCCATCCTCGTGCGCCCTCGTTCATACCTGTCTACATACGGCCTCACTGACCAAACATAGGCAGTCTTCACTCCGTCTAACCTATCAACGCACTCACCGAGTAGCATGCTGTCGTTTCTGTTATTAAAAACGAAGGGCCCATGACCTAAATAGGTGTTTGTATAGTCAATTCCTCCCTACCTCTATTCTCTTGTGTCTTTTTAGGTTATATTGTCAGCTGGCATTTTACCAAAATTTTCGCACACAATGGAACCTGGCCTGCGCCAGCTGGGACTGCCCGTTAAACTCGTGCGCGGAATAATCAACCTCGAGACCGACTATCCCGTATGCGAACTTGGACAAGCTCTCACACCAGAACAGTGTCGCATTCTGGTAAGCCCGCTTTTTTTACTAGTTTACCTCTTGACCCTGCCACTCGAAGGTATTTGTAGTTTTAATTGTCAGAAGTCGCGTTTAGGTTTAGAAAATAGAGAACTTCTAAAGTTCGGTTGCTATCTCCCTCCAGAACATGAGTAGATGCAACGTAACGCCCCTAGAGTCTTATTTGCGACCAACCTGTCCAGTTTGTTAACAGTTCTACAGAGCTGCCGCATTATTCTGCCTTCGAGTGCCATTTAGGCGGTTTTTTGAAAGCTTACCATATTCTTCACGATTAAGTCACTCTTGGGAATCAAGAAAGGCGCTGCCGTGGATTCGGTAGAGTCTGATTCACCGGCCTGAGGGACCAACGCTTGTATTATGCGTCCAGTCGTCCTGGCCCTTTGCCTGTCTAGAAAGTTAGATGCGGGAACAGTGTGTGGATCGATTTCAGACGCACTGTCGTGTGGGGATACACTGCGACATTACCGAGATTGTATTGACTAGACAGTACCATATCTGTATGAGGTAAAGTTACCGAACTAACTGTCGTACAACTAAGCACCAAACAGCTACAGTTTTATCAGAAGGCATGTTCTATGTGCACATTTGGAAATTGTGTTCCAAACTACTGTTTTACGATGCCATTTTAGAAATACTTCGAGGTCCAAACATCAGAATTCCGTGTTAACATATTGGCCCGTTGGGACTCACAAAGCGAAAAAGTGACAGAACTTCAAACTAAGGATGCAGCCAATGTTATAACATCGCTGTTTCCTAAGATTTCTGTAAGTTGCCAGAAGTTGGATGATGGAGCCTTCTATTTTGTACCCCACCCTATTGAAGACGAAAATCTTTCGTAAATAAAACAGTTAAAAAAGCCTTTTCTTATATTCCTTCATCCCGGAATTTGTTCGTTCGTAAATGGTTCGCCTGGATAATTAGTGTCACCTGAGGATGAGAAAAAGGTGAAAATGTGAGACACGATGCTCCTCTTATGTAAATGAATTCGCCCGGACGCAAACCCAGGAGGGTTACTATAGGGGCCCACAACGAATAATATTCCTACACAACACCCTGTCGGTGCAGATCAATCTACATAGCTGCTGGCTGGAACTGTAATACTATTCTGTTGATAGCGGCGTTATTACCGACAATACTGCTATATTTTCGCAGTACAACTTCACCTAGTGAACTTCAGCGTTGTGAGCATTGATTGTACTAATTTCGTAGACATGACGTGAAGACAATATCAGACAGACAAACGATCGTGGCTTAATTTTTTTAGCAGTTTACTTGTTAAAAACTGAATCCGAAAGTGTCCAGGCTCAATACAGTGCCAAGCCTGCAAATCGGAAGACTCTTACGTATGGTTCTGGAATGGTAGAATATGTAAGCCACCAAATGTTAACCAAACCTTTAAAGTTTATTTGTATGCATGTGAGCAGTGGATTGAGGGATAACCAAGCTCGCAAATAAAATTAAAAAAGAGTCATGTGTAGACGAGTATTTTTTGAGATTAAAAAAATAGGCAATGAAGGAAAACTACAGGAAATGTACATACTTGCAATGCAAGACAGCAGGTAAGAAAACTCGGAGGATTCTGTAGGCCGCCTATTCAGAAAAGATTTCCCGACAACAGTTACTCCGTCTGAAATTTTTAATAAACAGAATTATGTATAAGATGCAGCCGAAATGCAAAGAACAAAAATAAGTTTTTTCTAGTCGCCCGTGTGATTTCTGTACTTTGAATAAATGTTAGCATTGACAAACACGCAATACGGATTTGGGCATCTAAAAATATTCGAAAGGTTGGACTAACGCGCACTATGAATAATGTGCATACAACAATACTAGAAAAGGTTAACGTACGAAAACAATTTTCGAAAATCCGAGGCTATTGGAGTTCGGGAACGTGAGCGCTTTCTGTTGTGGTAAACCAGGGGCCGTTGGACATCTTTAAAGGGTCTATAGTAACTGCCTGACTGTCAGTATTCAGGACAGTCTGTTTTGAAGTAAAAGAAATTTCCCCAAGCTCAGTTGGAAAACATGATTTCGACTTCAGAATTGTGGTCTGAGGACGTATAAGTGACTCCTGAGGCGATTGAGAATTCTTTTGTACGTAGGAGAAGACATTCAGAGGTTTTTTGGGGCAGACTCTCTCAGGTTCTGTTGAAGTTTCTTCATAGCGAAAGCCAGCCGCCAGGGAGGATGAAGGATCCTTCACATAGAACTCACTTTGCAATTTCCTACGTTTCGGATAAAGGGTGGCTAGCTCGGGTGTGACTGGATGAGTGTGTTTCATGTTGAAACGAACTATTTTCAGCAGACCGTTGTTAACACTGATGTTTATGAATGAGGTGCACTCTAATTTCGATGTCCTACTAAGTATAAAAACCGTAAGAGAATACAAAACTTCTGATTTAGACGGATGGAAGCTCCGCTCTCGTATTTTCCAAAATGGTAGCATGCGTAACGCAGAGTGCGATATTTCAAAGTAGGACGATACGGACTGTCTTTTGGAAAAAGATTCGAGTTTCGAATCACATATAGTGCACCTGTAACCTTAAGAAGCATTAAATAAGTGGTGTTCTCACTTCTTGAAATTCCTTCAGTCTAGCTTGAAGTTCATCGAATGAGTCAAACGTAAGAGAATTAAAAATTTTGGAAAAAATAGGCGTAGTGTCAGCTTCCGGGGAGCCTAACAAGTAATTTACTAAGAACGACGGTAGTACTAACATTCGGGATAAGAGTCTTCAGTAGTGTTGTTTTCCTCAACTTCGTGGTTGTGCGTCATACAGATGCGCGTGACGGTAAGAAAATTCTCAACAGCGCGTACATCTATGATTGATTTACAAGGGTTTTCCCTGCGAAGATAATTCTTGCAGGCAAAAGTAAGCGCCTTGTATCGAAGAACCTCTCTTTCATGCGCGCTATATCTCCGATCGAACATATTTGATCTTCTCATTTTGTAACAAAGACCGGTCAGCTAAGAAATATTAAAGCTGAGCAGTTCCTACCCTTTCGAATTCATTAACTTTCTGCTTAAGTTCGTCATACGAATGGAACGACATAGACACAAATGTTTTAAGAAACTGTTCAGTGGAATCCATGTGGAAGCAACAATATTGTAGACGCGATGTCCTCTATATATTTGATGGAGGTTATCGGAATTATAGACGAAATATCAAATCAGCCCGGAATCGTTACACTGCGTTCCCGTTTAACCTGGGAATGGGTTACTTATGGCATATGCGGTCAGCAGCTATCACCAAGGCTCCTATATGCAACCAGAGAAAACCCATATTAGTTGATCTCGGGGAGGACTAAAACAAACAAATTGCCAGCGTGCGGGAGAAGAGTAATATAAATAAACGAGAAAATCGAAAAAAAGTACGGGCAGGAATGTCTGATTCGAAAACTTGTTTTGCCGGAATAAGTTCGAATAGAGTAAAAGGCAGAAATTGTGCAGAATTTAATAGGATTTGTAAATCCTTGAACTCATATTTGTAGAGGCTTGATCACTACAAATATACAAAATGTCTTATCAAAAACGTGACGGAAAACTTTCTAGCGT